TCTACAGACTTCAACAGAAGTTAAGGACCACTTTGACAGACAGCCCTGATTTTAAAAACAAAACGAAAGAAAGAGTTCAAGGAATGCTTCAAATTTTTTTTTTGCTCTGAAACTGTTAATGCATTACCAAGGTGTACTGCAAAGCTTCCTAAAGGGGCATAACCACAACGTGCAGCATGGAAATCCCCCGTTACTTTTTTTATCGACTTGTCTGCGACACCATGGACATTCCTCTGTTTAAATTTCTGGTGCACGTCATAAACGGACGCACGGTCTTGAACTGTGCTCACTTTATTGGCAATATAAGCTGCCGTTTGCGAAAAATCCAGTATCGCATCGATTGCCTTCAAGGTGAAAGCCGAGAGACTTTGTTCGTGCCAGAGCTATGGCATGGCTGCAGGGTGGAGTTGGGGCCCGAGAAGTTGCCAGAAGGCTTGCAGGGTCACACTCTGTCATTGTCCGCTTGAGGCAACGCCATCAAGCCACTGGATCAATCCAAGAACGCCCACGTGCAGGTCGACCCAAGAAGACCACTCAGAGTGTTTGAAAATGGTCCTTAACTTATGTTGAAGTCTGTATTATATTGCAGTTTGGTGAAATCGGGCACTTGTCAGAATAACGAAATCAGAGAAAGAAGCTTGAAGCATTTTCCGCCAGTTATGACATTTTTATGGAATTTTCTTTTTTGGCTCACCCACTTTTACGTACGCATAAAAACACATTTCCTTGTGAATTTTATTCAAAAACAATGATTAAAGACCCATAATATTATGACATTTTTCACTTTTGAAGGACTCTCTAGCTATTGAAGGTATCAAAATTTGGCAGCCATTTTCTCGCTAATTTCACCACGGAAACCAGCCGACCTCACCTCCTTCAATCGCAAACATTTTGACTTCTATTCAAGATGGATGGATATTTATTTCATTTTGAAGCATGTCAAAAGAAAGAGCTTTCAGATGACACCAATAACTCCTTTACTTTAACTTTTTTCTTCTGCTTGTACCGGTTGGTGTCGCGGGGAGACACAGGCGTCTGTCTGCAGCAAGTCGTGTGGCCTGTAGGAGGGACATTCCGTGAGCTCTGAGGGTGTCTGCCACAGATTCACTCCATCGTCGCTTTGGTCTTACTCTGTCCCTCCATCCAGAATATTTAGTGTTGTATGCTCTCAGAGCTGGAAGGTTTGAGGGCATCCGCGTGAGGTGTCCGAACCGCTTGACTTTTTGTTTTTCAATGTGTGGTGGTAGGACTGGTGTTGCTCCTACGGTGTCACTTATGAATTCATTTTTTATTTTGTCTCTTCTTGTTTTGTTGACCGCTCTTCTCAATCATTTTATCTCGCAATAGCACCACACGCCCAAAAATTGACGAGAGCCTGATACTTCCGCGTCGTGACACCATTTATAAAGCTGTGTCTATGGGGCGTGAAAATAATACACCTGCACTTAAGATTACACATGTGCTCATTCTGGGGATAAGGGAAATCTGAGATTCACGTTTATTCTCGTACAAAAGCCTCAGTACATCTGTCATAATATTTATAAACCCATGTCGACAGGCCGTAACATAAATAACACTCACACACCTGTTACAAATACAATTACATACCTGCTCATTCTGGGGACAAAGAAATCTGAGATTGACATTTTCTCTGGTAAAAAGAACTACAGTAGCTCTGTCATTTAAAAGGCTGTGTCGATGGGGAGCAGAAAATAGGACTAGATCAGATCAGATCAGATCAGATAGGATAAAGTGACAATTTATTGTCCCAAAGAGAAACGTTTCTTGGCTATAAAAGAGTGGTAAGAAAAAACAGATGTAGATATACAAAGAATTTAAGTTATATTACTTTCGTAAACAATTCTATACGAAGTGAAAATAAAAAGTTGACAATAACAAACATTTGATATATCACATCAGATGCGCCTTTCAACCCCACGCAAGAATTCATCACAGACCTAATGAGTTATAATGTTTATATGTATAGATAAAACAGTATAACACGGATAGGTCGAACACAGAAGACTCGAAATCATGCATCCGTCGAACTCTGCTGGAGTCCCGGTTTTTCCCCTCTTCCTGATCTTTGTAAAATATCCCCTTAAACTACAGATCCCTCAAACTACCGAGGCCAGTCCCGACGAATTCGAGCTACCCGTTTAATACTGTATATTCGAATTATAAATACGTCTACAATTAAAACTATTAAAAAACCTACCCGGAATGTTCGTCCTCCTCGTTAACATATTCCTCCCAACCTGGGCACTGACTGACCACGTAAATGCCCACCGCCTGGTCACACTCGATGCTCCGGTTGAATTCTTCCCACGAGCTGGTGGTGAGCAGGAATGGACACTCGCCGGTGACGTGTGAGCAGCAGGCGTTGTGGGCGTGGCAGTGGAAGTGGCAGACACAGGATCCGGCGGCTCTGTCCAGGCATCGGCTCTCACACGAGCGGGGGTCTACCACATGGGAGGGATGTGGTGGGGGGTTTTTGGTTTTGTTTTTTGTTTTTGTGGGGTTATTTTTTTTTTTTAAATTTGGGGGGGGGGGGGGGAGGGTGTTGTAGAAAAACATAAGTAAAAATTATAAATGATATAAACAAATTACATTTGAATGATTCCCCCTTGCGGACATTTGGGTTACAATGGCAAACATACATAAGTAGATACATAGTTAGAAATGCATCCATACATTAATATATATCTGCATAAATACATATATATACACAAATACAGAATATTACACAAATACAGAACAATTTCACAGACATGCACATGTACGGTTTTTAACCTTACGTAAACTCCCCCCCCCCCCCCCCCCTTAAGTAAAAGACTTCAGACAGATTATGTGTCTGACTGTCAGTCTGCCGGTCTCTCTCTCTCTCTCGCTCTCTCTCTCTCTCTCTCTCTCTCTCTCTCTCTCTCTATCTATCTATCTATCTATCTCTCTCTCTCTCTCTTGCTCTCTCTCGTATTTGTTTCTCTTCATTATTTCTCTATTTCCCTTTATATGTGACATAATAAAGAACAAATGAAAAAGAAAATCACCACAACGGATTACAAATTACAGCAGGTCTCATTATTTATTCTCCGTCGAGGTCACTCTAAAATCGTTTCTCTCCATGCACTCTATAATAGTATATTATTATCGTGCCGAATTTCTTCTCTTTACTTGCATTAAAGTCCTATCTCTCCCCCCCCCCCCCTCTTTTATACATACAACGCCCGACTGCTTCTGTACCCCTCCACCCCCTCCCCTGTTTCCCACGTAGGCGTTTTTGAACGTATTCGTATATGCATTTGCGTGTTTGTATGTCTGTATTTGCTCCTGTGTGTATGTGTGTGTCTATGTGTGCACGTGTGTGTGTGTGCGTGTGAGAGAAAGTGTGTGTATGTGTGTGTTTGTTTGTATGTGTGTGTTTGTGTCTCTGTGCATGCGCGCTCGCGTTTTCGAATACCTTCCGAATAGCTATATATCCGAACAAAAACATCATCATCATCATCATCATCATCGTCATCATCATAATAATAATAATAATAATAATAATAATAATAATAATAATAACAATTTTTTTAAAATAAAGTTGTTCCCGCATCCAATCCAGACACTGGGGATTGTCTTGTTAGATTGTTAGTGAGACAACTTCCTCGGCCTTCGGCATTTTGCCTTTATTTCCCCATCTCGAAGTCAGGTACCCAGTACGGCTGGGTGGCCAGAAGGGGGCGAAAAAATCCGTGTCCAAACCAAGGCTCGAACCCGAATTTTGTCGCCCCCTTTCGGACCTTTTTTCGGACCTTTTTTTTCGGACCTTTTTTTCGGACCTTTTTTTCGGACCTTTTTTCGGACCTTTCCGCCTCGGAGACGAACGCAATAATAATAATAATAATAATAATAATAATAATAATAATAATAATAATAATAATAATAGTAATATGTTGTTGTTGTTGTATTGGATCAAGCGTTTACCTTCAGAAGACCAGAGAAAGGGAAACGTTTCCTCTATCATGTCTGTATTACTCTGGTTGGTCCTTGAGGTTTGACTGTCTCCACCTTTGGACGACTTCGTCGTCTGGTCTTCCAAGTTTTCTTTTTCCTGGCTAGTCGCAAACTCACATGTATTATGTTCCAATGTATTTGATCCTTGCTGCGATGAGTGGGTAAGAGAGTCGCCCTGTGTGTTAGCCGTAATGTGATGGCGAAAGGTCTGTTCCTCTTTGATTTCTGACATTTGGTTTAACGTTGTTCGCTCAAAGAGAGTTGAGGCTTGCCACGGCCAAGTACTATATTCTGGCCCTGAGGTAAAAGAAATTTGCTTTTCCGTGACTTTATGATTTGAATCGAGCTTTTGGGTATTTGTAGACAGAACTGCCATCAGTGGGCCCTGAGAACTTAGTGTTGGAAGGACCGATGATGGAGGCATAGAAGCATTGTGATCAGAATCAACTCGTGCTCCTGAAGTAGATTTCGTAGACGAGTTGTTTTTGTCTAATACTAATACAAGAGAGTCACCGCCATTGTGTGTGACGTTTTCCTTCGAGTCCTTGACAGTCTCCTTTTCGAGTTGCCTGTCAGATGGAAATGGGGGACGAGTCTTCTCATCAGACGTCAGATCTGAAGCGTTTGTGGAAAGGTTACCTTGGACATCGTCTGCTGAGCTTACACCGGATATGTTGTGGTTGTTCGGTCCATCAACTAGGGTGGCCAATAGTAAGTGACCACCGCCGCCCTGCCTGTGATCATCTGGACGCCATTTGTCGGTTCGTGGACACTTGATGGCTTCACCGTGCTGTCCGTTGCTTCCACTACAATCTGCTCTGCTCGTTTTACTGCTGTTTCCAGAATTTTCCTTTTCCTCTACTCTAGACAAATTGACAAAATTATTGTCCCACCTAGCATTCTCACTACCACTTTCGTTTCCAGTTTCATCTTGCGGTAGGGGAGGTGTTCTGCTAGCGCCGGGGTTATGAGATATCAGGAGAAATCCTGTGTAACTTTCCATGGTACTTTGTGATGCTGTCGCGGTGCTGTCCTCGATGTCAGTGGTGGAGGGCGGGGCGGAGATGGTATGGCATGTGAGTGGGAAGATGTGTTGTTGGCACAGATAGAGGAGCACACCTAAGGTGTGTTGTACTAGTTGTAGGCGACGTGCATGCATCTCGGTGGGGTGTAGCCTACGCTTACTTCGAATGTGTGTGTGTGTGTGTGTGTGTGTGTGTGTGTGTGTGTGTGTGTGTGTGTGTGTGAAACTGTTCGCTAGGGCCGTGTTTTGCTATGTGCGTGTTAGACTGTATAATAACCATAAATACAAATCTATGTCTAAATTATGAGTGTTTATATACACAAATAGTAATAGAGGTGTCTTCTCTTTCGTTTGTTCACGATCTCCCGCTTCATCTACCTTTCATATACGATATACGAACACAACCCCTTTCAATACTGTAAAGTTATAAATGGAGGAAAGGGGGGGAGGGAGAACAGCAGGGGTAAGGGGGGGGGATTTTTATTAAAGATAAGACGACGCTAAAACGGAGGTAGGTCAAGTCCTAATATCTCCCCAAACGATCCACATTCTTGAAAGTTCCCTAGGGGATACGAGCCAAGGTCATGAGCACTGAATGAAATAAAGCATGCTACTGTCTGCGTTAACTGCTTGCCTCTATATCCAGGTGTTTTCTTTTCTCCGTTCAAGGAGCTATTTTGCATTTTTGTTTCCCTTATCTTTATAATTAAAACATTTATCAGACAATCAAGGCCTTGCACTGATCTCAACCCCCCTCCTCC